GGGCAGATCCCTCACTCTCTGCAGGAGGGGCAAAGAGCACCATCAGTAAGCCCGGAGGTGGGACTGCGTCTCTAACACCCAGCTTTGTGTGCTTTTCACGGCACACCGAAAGAGGTTCATTCTGGATGGATTCTTAGACCTCCTCCACCTTGTGGGCTTTTGCAATCTACCTCTGAACTCGTACATGAGAAAAAAAATAAACACGTGCAAAGTTGAGGGGGCCCTTTGTGATAGTAGCCCAGCTTACCGACCACAATCAGATACTGAATGTACTGGAATGACATTGATGTGCTCTCAGAGTGATCAGCAAGACTCAGATCCAAGGAGGATAGGAGGACGTGTCTCTCCCAAAACAAAACCAAGACGTGCTTCAGAATCTGAGCTCTTTCTTGAGGGGCTCGAGGTTCTCTCTCTTGGTTTAGCAGAGCAGTTCCGCATTATTGGAGCTCTTCATGTAATTGTTTGAAAATAGTATTCTGCTTTAAAAAAAAAGTTTAAAAACCACTGATGGTTTTAAATGAATCACAAATTTTAATACAAATATTGTATGTGGTAAATTTTATTATTCTGTTATATTGAATGTGGTCAAATACAGTTAACCCCTAAGTGACAAACATCACTGGTCAAAGCAGAGTATGTCTTTGATGATTCAGAAGGCACGGCAATTTTCAGGGTTGCCTCTGAGAAATTACGGGTTGTCACAGAAATCACTTGTACGTGCTTTCTTAGTGTTTTAAGTCCCAGATACAAAAGGTCTCCTATGCCTTTAGGTGGGAGAGGCCACACTTCCCGCCTCAGAGGATGGGGACCCGGTGGCAATGTCTCTTTAACTGGAGAAGTGAGCCCAGCACCTCCGCGGGGCCTCTGGCCTCCACCGCAGGCTGCTCTCACCAGAGCACTGTGTTCCACCCATGGCCGCCATCCAGGGTGCACATAGGCCCTGAGTGGGAGCCGGGCCAGAGAAAACAACCCGGCCTCCAAGAAGGTCCATTTCCCAACTGGCCGGGGCAGGGCGGGAGCACAGAAAGGAAGGGAACATGGAGAACCACAGCCTTGGCTCCTCAAGCACGCTCACGGCCACCCTGCAGCCTTCCCCACTCGTGAGCACCCCAACAACCCTGTGAAGCAGGCATCACCCTGAGCCCCTTCCCACAGAGGAGCTCAAAGACATGCAAGACAGCCAGCTCGTGCTTTGCGAGAGCTTCTGGTCCAAGAAGCAACTTGTCCTTGACTCACACCAGCTCTGTCCTTGTAGCTAATTTATGAGGCCCCTCAGCAAGACAGAGCGGCATCCCGCATGGACTACACCGGGGGGGGGGGGGGGGAGGGTGCAGGCCTCCCCCCCCCAGTGTTAGCAAGGGGGCGGCGGAGGCTCAGCGAGGAGAGTAAACTTTCCCACAGGCCCACGGCGATTCGTGGCCGAGCAGGGCGAGAACAGGGGTCTCCTGGGTGTTTCCGGCCCTTGCGCGGAGAGGTCAGTGCAGGGGTGAGGGCCCGGCTGGCGGAGGGAGCAGCAGGGCGGGTCCCGAGTGAGGGCCCCGCCCCGGCTTTCTCCCTCAGATGAGCTCACGGACACTGGTGCCCCGGCGCCCAGGACGCAGGCCTGTCCAGATGTGAGGGATTCGTGCTGTGCGATGCGGAGAGCAACCTCAGCCAATCCTTTTTCTCTGGAGGGGTTTTGGAGCCAAGTTAGACCTCATTGCAGACATGTAGAAAACAGGATGTTTTAGGGCCGCGGAGGAGAGTAGACTCATGTTGTTCATGACTTAGAGGGCTGGCAGATCCTCACACTTGGCCAGCCAGGTCAGACTGCTTCCTCCCGGCCCGAGCTGGGTCTGGAGAGAGGGCAGGCGTGGCTCCGGGGAGAGCCGGGGCCGGAGGGGTATGTGTGGACCCACACCCCCCCTGGGTAGACCCCCTTTTCACGGACAGCCCTCCCTGTGGGTGAGAGCAGCTCTTCTTGCCCCCAGGGAGTCTTTCCTCTCTCGGCTGGGCTCCCCGGTTCTTTCAGCTGAGACAAACGAGTCAAGCTTCTGAGTCCCTTCACCGCAGCTGCTTCTAGCCCTGCTTCTGCCTCTCAAAGGCCCAGAACAGAGCACAACCCTCCAGGTGGGGTCCCTCCGGCTAGCCCAGGTCCCCCCCCAATCCTGAACATTTCCCATCCACACATGCAGCCCACGATGGCTTCTGCTTTTTGCTAACAACCCCATCAGACAACTGGCTTTTATTATGGAACATTTCAAATCATATATCCAAGAGTAGAGAGAGGAGTGGAATGAACTCCCATGTCCCCATCACTCAGTTTCAACAATTATCAATCTTGGCCAGTCTTGTTTGGCTACCCATGTCTCCTCCCACTCCCGGGATTACTTTGATGTGAACCCAAGACATCCTAGCATTTCATCTCTAGGTATTTCAGTATGGATCTCTAAAAGACTCCCTTTTAAAAACAACCAGTACTCACTCCAGCCACACACAGATGAAAAAAATAACCGAAGTACCACTGTCATGTCTGCCCCCTCCCCAAAGTCAACAAGACCATTGTCTTTTGAAGAGGCTTTTCGAAGTTAAGTGGAGGGAAATAAAAGGAGAATATAGAAACAAATTGATCTCCATAAAAGATGCTCATAGTGGAAGGAAGTTTTATCTCTGCTCTTGGTCCTCATTCTTACATCGAAGAGTTGGGATCCAGATAGAGTTGGAACAGGAACATTTCAGGATTGTGATGGGGGGCTCTGGCGGAGCTCTGGAAGGCCAACTTGCTGAGATGGGGTCAAGAGAGGGCCAGGGTGATTGGGGTCCAGTCATTTGCTGACCATGTGACCTTGGGCAGGTCATTCAACCTCCCAGAGTTACGCGTTCATCACCAGCAAAATGGCTCGCCATCTCCGTCCTTACCCCAAGATCTGCCAGCCTTCTGGGCAATTCTGTATGTCCCCTTGGGCAACCCAGCCCACACCAGGGTCTCAGAGTTACAACAGTTTTGCACCTAGATAGATGAAGTCCAATAATTCTTGCCCCCACTCTGCCTCAGATGCCCACATCCATGACCACAACCTTGATATTGTCACTAGGAAGCTGCTCCACCTCTCAGAGCTGAAACTGCAATGTCTGTCACCATTCATTCCTTCTGTCACTCCATCATCTTACCAAGACCGCCAGTCCTGTCAGCCCCTCCATTTCTCCCAGTTTATTGGCCCTCTTATTGGTCCCCTTTCCTTCCTTATCCAAGCTAGACTCCAGAGCTCATCCCCTTAACTCCATGCTGGTCAAATCCTCAATCCTTTGCTCCCCCACACTGTCAGCCCCCAGCTTCCGCTCCAACCAGCCCCCTATCCTGGCTCCTCTGTACCCAGCCTGCTGGGCGGCTCGCTGGGGGGCTGGCTTCCAGCGTTCCCCGTTCCCCCTGGAGTGGGGTCCTTCTGCACAGGCCTCCTTCTCTTCACCTCCTTTTGAAGCCCTCTCTGTATTCGAGCCCCCTCCCCAGTGGTCTGCTGATAAAGTGGCTTGAAAAAACAAAGACGAAGACAAAAACAAGTCATTAGTTGGTTTCCGTGATGTAAATACTCTCACCATGCCTCCCATGTCCATGGCTGTGTTTAATAGCCCCACACACAGAATTCCTGAAAGCTTCACAACTAGCTTCCTCTTTAGTAAGCCAACGTGCATTTCCCGCAGACGATTCCCCTCGTCCTTTACAGAGTGAAGAGAGGCCAGCAGGTGAGAGCTCACTCCACTTCCTGGCCCTTTGAGGAGAGGTCTGCCTTTACCACTTCTGCTCCTCACCCCCTCCTTCGAGCGCTGCCTCCGCCCCCCCCCCCCCAGCTGGGTCCCCAGCCTGTCCTCTCCTCAGCTCTACTGTCCTTCCGGCTGTCAGCGTGGTTGTTTCTTCAAAGAACAGAAACAACAAGAAACATTCTTTTTTTTTTTTAAGATTTTATTTATTTGAGAGAGAATGAGAGAGAGAGCACAAGAGGGGGGAGGGTCAGAGGGAGAAGCAGACTCCCGGCTGAGCAGCAGGGAGCCCGATGCGGGACTCGATCCCGGGACTCCAGGATCATGACCCAAGCCGAAGGCAGTCGCTTAACCAACCGAGCCACCCAGGCGGTCTCCCTTCCTTCACAGAGCGAAGCTTCCCAGGATCCCAGTTTCTACCTTTGGACCTCTCTTTCCCTCGTCCCACCGCATCTAGACTCTGCTTTGCCTTCACTACTCCGCGAACAATGCTGGGGTGGGATTTAGCAATGACTTTCTCGTTGCTCTGTCTTTCCATCCTTATCTTGCTAGACTTCCCTGCTGCTTTAGCCCACGCTGACCGCCTCATCCTCAGTGAAGCTCTTTGCTTCGCTTCGTTTCGGGGGCAGTAGCCTTCTTCCTGAGTGTCAGGGTTCTCCAAGGTTCCAGCCAACTCTGATGCCCCATAGGCGTCTCGGGGCCGCCAACACTGAAACCTGAGCTCAGAACCAGGGCCCTGAGACTTCCGGTGTGAGGGCTGGTTGGTGCCAGAAGAACCAAGGAGGAACCAACGTTGGGGAGAAAAGTGTTGAACCAAGAGCCGAACAGGATGAACCTCAGGCTTTCCACTTACTCGCTGTGTGACGCTGGACATAGCATTTCACCCCTCTGTGCATCAACTGGGGATCTTAAATAGGGTGTTGTAAAGGTTGATTGAGTTCACACACGTGTTTAGCGTACTATGCGGTACACGGTAACTACTCATCCAAGGTCCGACAAATCCCTCCAATCCATTCTCTGTATGTAAAGAAATTCGTATATGACCATGTGACTCTTCTGTTGAAATAAACCCCAGATAAGGTTTGTTTATTGGGGCAGCTGGCTTTGTGCCCATGCTCACTCTCCTCCCGTCTCCACCCTGTACTTTCCAGCCACCCCAACCCCCCTGAGGGTTTGGGCACAGAACCGTGCCATTTTATGCCTTTCCCTCTTTGCACACGCCATTCTGTCTGGTGGGAACCTTTCCCCCCTTCCTTACCTTACAGAGTTCAGGCAGCACCTCCTTGAAGAAGCCCACCTGGCTATGGAGGTGACCAGGGCCATAGAGACAAGTGAGTGACTGGGGCAGCCCCATCCTCACGCCCTGACCCACACTCAGCCTTCCTTTGCTTCTCTTTGTGACTGTTTTCAGGACCCACCTTGTGGAGCCCAGCGCTTTGCAGGGGTCTCTAGTTTATAGGAAATGGTGACAAGGCTTGTTTTCCCACAGCTGCTGAGCCCTTTGTGCCCTCCCGTGGAGACCCGGCCTGGAACGCAGGGTGTGACAGACACATGGCTGTCCACCACCGTTTAGACGTCATAGAGGAGGTAATCAGGGTGACTTGGGAAGGCACGCAGTTTCAGGACCACCTGCCAGGCTGGTAGCTTTCTAGGGCTCAGGAGAAGCTTGCTTTGGAAAATGGGGGGAAATCCAGGCCAATCCTGCTCCCTGGCCACCATGTGAAACATCTCCCTGCCCTACCAGGGCTGTTAGGCTCACCAGCCCTCAACAGACTCTGCCTCCGCAGGGGCCTTGCTTCCCTCCAGCTAGAGATCTCCACCTCATTACACACCGAAACGGTGGACATTCAGTCACTGTGTTTTGTTCTGTAGGTTTCACCAGACTGCTAAAGGGGTTCATTCAGGAAGAAGTTAGGAACGCGGACTAAAGAACGTTTCAAAATCCCAAACCTGTCATTTGGCAGAGTGGCCGCCAGGGGGCGGGGCGACAAAAAGAATGTGAGCTCCCACTGAATTCCGCAAACGGAAAAAGGAATCCCAGGGTTGCTCCGCGCCCGACTGTGTGACTGAGGGAGTGCATCGCTTCGTGCCAGAGCCAGGAGCGGCCTTAGAGAGTGAAGCTCTGGGATTCTGTCACCTGGGGACCTGAGAGGCCGCACAAATTCAGAACTGGCACTCAGTTCTCTCCCTGCTGCGCCCACTGGGCTGCCAGGTGTCCCTTAGGATGTGGCTGATGAAGCAAGACTTGGCACCACTCTCGTGCCCTACTCCTTCTGTCCCTTGCTCCCCCTACGCCCCGCTCCCATCTCTCTTGTTCTAGACGGTGGAGAAGACAGTGGAGCACCTGGAAGTAGAAGTGAAAGGCTTGCTGAGTCAGCTGGAGGAACTGGCCTGGAACCTTCCCCCGCGGCCCTTGGGCCCCGCCCCCGACTTCCTCGGAGACGGTGAGCGGCTCGCGCAGCAGAGGGGACAGCTCGGGCTGGGGATGGCTGCCCACCACCGCACAGGTGTGGCCTGGACAAGCTGGGAGAGACCTCGGCTCCTCCTGGGGCCGGGTGGGGAGGCATCCCCCAGCTCACCCCGCGAGTTCTGTGCCCCAACCCCCAACTGGGGGCGCTGCAGCCCGGCATCTAGTCAGGGCTTCTGGAAGGGCTGGTGCAGTTCCCGTGGGTCCCGCCTAGCACAGCCCTGGACGCAGAGCCGCCGCCTCCTCCGCTGGCCATGTGCCCGCCTCAGAGCTCCGGGGCTCCTCTCGGGTCCCTTGCAGGGAACCCGTCCTGCGCCACCACAGAGCCCTCTGATGGGGCCAGAGGGGGTTGGCCCCTGCGCCCTCCCTGTGCCCTGTGTTCCCTGGCATAGGAGTTCCGGGGCTCGCGGAGGGGCCTGCAGCACTCAGCGATCTGAAAGAGAGCTAACCCCCTCTCTTTCAGATCGCTTTGGAGCACCAGAGCCTGAGCTGCCCAGCACCTGGAAGTGACCCACGTGTGGGACAGCTCTCCTCCGAGAACACAGCCGTGCCTCCGGGCCTGCCTTCCTCAGCTTGGTGCAAAATAAAAGCTGCTCCCCTGCCCCCTCCGCCCCGCCCCGTGTCTGCTGGCAGTGACCCCTATAGCCACAGCCCCTTCTCCATCTACTCCCAGGCCCTGAGGCCCATGTCCTCCTAGGGGCGCAGACGGGGAGACCTCAGGTGGCCTGTGGGGCTGCCCTCCCTATATATGGGGGCAGACAGGGCGGGAGTGGGCTCAGAGCTGAGGCACCTGAGACCCAGGTAAGGTGACACAGCGCAAGGGCCCTCAGAGTAGCCTCCCCACTCAAAATGTGGCCACAGACAAGCAGCAGTGGCGTCACCTGGGAGCCTGGCAGAAATACAGAATTTGGGGCCCAACCCAGGGATCCCGCATCAGAATCTACATTTCGGTGAGATCCCCAGGGGATATGTGTGCAAATTTGTGTGCAGTTTTTTAAAAGTTTTCTATTGAGGTAAAATTCACACAACATAAATTTCAAAATTTTTACTCATTTGTGCAAACTGCACAAATTCAGCGGCTTCACATAGTTGTATGCTAATTCCAGAACATTTTCATCACCCCCCAAAAAACCCTGTACCTATGAGCAGTCACTTCCCATTCCCCTCCCACCACCCCTTGGAAACCACTAATATTTCTATCTCTATGGACTCGCCTATTCTGGACATTTCATATAAATGGAATCATTCAATATGTAGCCTTTGTGGTCAAATTTTTTTCTCACTGAGCACAAGGTTTTCAGGTTTCATCCATATTGTAGCCTGTATCAGTACTTCACTCCCTTTTATAGCCGAGTAATATTCCATTGGATGGATATGCCACATTTTACTCACGCATCAACTGATGGACATTTGGACTGTTTGCACTTTCTGGCTATTATGAATAATGCTATGAATCCTATGAATATTTATGTACAAGTTTTTGTGTAGACATGTTTTCATTTCTCTTGGGTCTCTAACTAGGGATGGAATTGCTGAGTCAAATAGTGATTCTATGTTTAAGTTTCTAAAGAACGATCAAACTGTTTTTGCACAGTGGCTATATCATTTTACACTCCCGCTAACACTGTGTACATAAGGGTTTCAGTTTTCCCACATCTTCACCGTCTGTCTTTCTGATTATAGCCATCACACTAGGTGTGAAGTGGTAACTCATTGTGGTTTTAAGTTGCATTTGCCTAATGATGATGAGCATCTTGTGTTTCTTGGCCATTTGTCTTTTTTGGAGAAATGTCTATTCAAGTCCTTTGCCCATTTTTTTTTTTTTTTTTTTAGTTTATTTGTCAGAGAGAGAGAGAGAGCATGAGCAGAGGGAAGGGGAGAGGAAGAAGCAGGATCCCGCTGAGCAAGGAGCCCGATGTGGGACTCGATCCCAGAACTCTGGGATCATGACCTGAGCCAATGGCAGACGCTTAACCGACTGAGTCACCCAGGCATCCCTCTTTTGCCCATTTTTTTTTTTTTACAATTATTCAAGACCTTTATTAATGGGTGCTTGCCGTTTGTTGATTTTTTTGAAAAAATCAAGTTGTAAACTTTTTATTACAAATTAAAAATGAGGTTCTTAAAAATCTCAACTTGACCAGATATGAAACAATTTAAAAACCTTTAAAGGTGTATTGAGAAAAACCAGGTTTGTTTTTTTAAAAAACACGTTTGTCATTACCAAAAAGAGACGTCTTTAGGTAAAAATAATAAAAACCCCATGCTGCGTAGATAATGCAGATAGTTCTATTTATCTGGTCAATGGGCAAAAAGCAAGCACTTAAGGTCTTCAGCTCCAGTCTTCTGTTCCTTTCTTACTGCTGGAATTTCATCTTCATTTCTTCGCGGTGGATGGCTAAACCGGATGCTGGTAGAGGTGGTAAGCCGGCATTTGCTCAGCCCCGCCCTGCTCAGCCTCGGGAGCCGACGAATTCTCAGCTGGTGGATCGGCTGCTCTTGTCTCTTTGCCATCTTGTGGTTGAGGGTTTTCTGGGCGTCTGCGTCGGTAATTTGAAGTTGCGGCCGTACCGACGTTGAGGTGGCTGCTGACCTTGGGTCTCATCTCCTTGATTTTCCTTATCTTCCGCATTGCCACCCTCTCTAGGCTGTCTTTGGCGAGGAGGCCCCTGCGGAATCGCGGTCTATAACCCCGATACCTATTCTCTCTCACTGGTCTACCTTGCTCTCCTGCACCCCGGTTGTCAGCACCCTCCATCACTTCTCCCTGCACAGGAGGGTTGGAATACTGTGGTCGACGCCCAGAGGGTCTCCGCATGCAGTAAGGTGGGAACCGTCGCCCGCGGTAGGGCCGGCGCTGTTGGGCCTGGCCTTCGGGAGCACTTTCCGATCCCTCGTTCTTTTCCCCACTCTCACTATTCTGGTAATTCTGCTGGGAATTGCGTGGAGGGAGGACCGCTGCGACGTGGATGGCGTCTATACTGGTTACGGTCTGCTGCATGTTTACTGCCTTGCACTGGAACTCCACCAGGGCCTGTCACACTTGCTGCCTCCGCACCCTTTCCTCCTCAACAACATCAAACTCCACAGTGTCTCCATCTCCTACACTGCGAAGGTACCTCCTGGGGTTACTCTTCTTTATGCAGGTCTGGTGTACAAATACGTCTTCCTTGGTGTCGTTCCTGTTTATGAAACCACATCCGTTTCTTACACTGAACCATTTTACTGTTTCCAAAACCTTCGTTGCGATGATCTTCTTGTCCCCGCCGGCAGCCGCCGCCGATGTGAGGCCGCTGGGGCCGCCGCTCCCTGCGCCGCTGCCGGTGCTGCCGGGCTTGGTGTCTGCAGTGCTGAGGGCGGGGTCGGCGGGCGGCTGCGGGGTCTTGGCCTCGCTGCTCATGGTCGCGGTGATGGTGACTGGGGCCGGTGGCGGCAGCTGCGGCTCCTCCCGGGGTGTGATGGTAACTAGGCCGGCGGTGGCGGCGGGGCTGCTCAGGGCTCTCTGGGGTCCCCTCTCCACTCCCGCTACTGATCGAACTCCCTCCTTTGCCCATTTTAAAAATTGTGTTGTCTTTCTGTTGTTGAGTGGTAAGAGTTCTATATGTATTGTGGATACTAGGCTTTTATCAGACATATTTTTTACAAATATTTTCTCCCATTCTGTAGGTTTTTTTACTTTCTTGTCCCTTGAAATACAAAAGTTTTAATTTTGATGAAGTCCAATTTATCTATTTTTTTGTTGTTGCTTATGCTTTTGGTGTCATATCTAAGAATCCATTACCAAATCGAAGGTCATGAATATTTATTCCTGTTTTCTTCTAAGATTTTTATAGCATTCTAAGATTTTTATAGCATTAGCTGTTTCATTTAGTTCTTTGATCTATTTTGAATTACCTTTTGTATATGGTGTGAGGTGGGGATCCAACTTCAATCTTATGCTTGTGCATATTCAGTTGTTCCTGCATTATTTGTTGAAGAGAATATTCCTTCCCCATCAAATGGTTCTGGCACCCTTGTCAAAAATCAATTAAGCACAGATGTTTAGGTTTCTCAATTCTATCCCATCCATATGTCTATCTTTATGCCAGTACCACAGCGTTTGAATTACTGTAGCTTTATATTGTAGCTTAAGTTTTGAAATTAAGAAGTGTGAGATCCCTTTTTCCAACACTTTTGTCTATTTGGGGACCAGTCCCTTGCAATTCCATATGCATTTTAGAATCAGCTTGTCCGAGTCTGCAAAAAGGTAGCTGGAATATTTATAGGGATTAGATTGAGTCTGCAGATCAATTTAGACTATATGCCATGTCAACAATACTAAGTCTTCTAATCCACGAGCACAGGATGTTTTGTATTTTCTTTCAGTGTACAAGTCTTACGCCAACTTAAATTTATCCTTAAATATTTTGTTCTTTTTGATATTATTATAAATAGGACCTTTTTAAAAAGATTTTATTTATTTGAGAAAGAGAGCACAAGCAGGGGCAAGGGGGGAAAGGGGGAGCAGACTCCCCACTGAGCAGGGAACCTGATATGGGGCTCGATCCCAGGACCCTGAGATCATGACCTGAACCAAAGGCAGACGCTTAACCCAGTGAGGACCCAGGCACCCTATAATTTGGATCTTAATTTTATTTTCAGATTGTTCACTGCTACTATATAGAAACACAACTGCTTTTTGTATTTTGATCATGTATCCTATATCCTGCAACTCTGCCCAATTCGTTTATTAGCTCTACTAGTTTTTGTGTAGATATGATTTATAATTTTCTACATAAGATCATGTCATCTGTGAACAGGAAGTTTTACTTATTTCCAATTTGGATGCTTTTTCCTTTTCTTGCCTAATTGCTCTGGCTAGAGCTTTCAAAACAATGTTGTTTGGTGTCGTCTTTAAATCATACAGAAAAAAAAAAGAGCTACAAATAAAAAAATATATTAACAGGAATGTTTATGTTTACCTATGCAGTTACGTTTACCAATGTCTTTTCTTTCTTCATGTGGATTTGAGTTCCTGCTCGGTATCTTTCATTTCAGCTTGAGGGACTTTCTTTAGTGTTTCTTATAGGGCAGGTCTATTAGCAGCAAACCATCTCCATTTTTGTTTATCCAGGAATGTTTTCATGTCTCCTTCATCTTTAAAGAATATTTTGCCAGATGTAGGATTCTTGGTTGACATTTTTTTTCTTTCAGCACAACGAATAGGTCATCCCACTGCCTTCTGTCCTGCATGGTTTCTGACAAAACCCTCTCACTGAGACTTTTTTCTCAGGCATTTGTCTGGTTGCTGCAGACTTTCCATTAGTTTTCAGAGTTTGGATAAAGTTGATTCTAACAGTTCTTGCCATCTTATTTGTTGCTTTTGTGTAGGAGGTACACTTTTGGAGGTCCCTACTCCACTGTTTTTGCTGACTACACTGAAGTTTAAGAAGCTCTGATCTTTTTTTT